CATTTATATTAATGATGAGAGCAGAGTCGACTCAAAAAACCACCGTCTTTCTGGCTACTTATCACGAATATAATGCCGTGCCGCTATCGTCACCAAAACAGTAGAGGATAAAATGTTTCCGTTGTGGAACTCAAGACTATAAATGACGTGTACATTTATTGTTGACCTTGTATTGTGTATCTTGATTGTCGGTCGGATTATACTTACATACAAGGTTTCACTTTACATAATAAAATAATAACTTACTTGCTTCAAAAGTTTAGTTCGCTTCACCCTCCTAAAGGCCCACCATAAACTTTCCCTTCTTTGGTTCTTATCGATGCACACATAACATTTTTGTGAAAATGCCAACACGCCTGTAATCAACACAAAATAAAATGATTCAAGAGGTTTATCACATCACAATATTACATACAACTACTCCTATCACCAACTTTTTAACATCGGGGATTTTGTCCAGTTTATGAGGAAACTGATATATGCCCCTCTATACATTACTAATTCAACACTTCTACGGAGTAAGACCTCAGAATCCTATTTACCCGATAACGCTCTCCCTCTATCAACTCCAAATCAAATGGTGAACTGCAACTTATTTCTTGTTTACCAAATGAGGAACTTTCTACAATACATCTTATTTCATAAAGACTGAAACTCTTACAAAGTCGGTTGTATATGACTTAAAATAAGATTATACTGAATTAAGACCCAACCTGACCCAAAACCTACTGATGCCATCCTATTGTTATGGTAATTGTTCTCGTCGATTGAAATTTTGTTTGTTGACCAATATAGCTCGTCATTTCATAATTGTATACTTATGATGTATAAACAGATGTTTGTGTTATGTTGCTTATCGAAAGGTGTCATTAATGAGAATATAATATAAATTGTACTCTCGAAAAAGATCTAAAAAAATCGTTAATAATAAAGTAATTCAAGGGGTGGTGTGTAATGTTTTGAAAACACTCGGTATGCCACAAATGCTTTTCAAGTACTGCTCATGGAAACTATTTAATATCGGGGATTTTGTTCCAAAACCAGTGAGTGTGCCTGAGCAAAAACGACCAGAACCAGTGCGGTAAGAGTTACACCCTACTCCTGTTCACACTCTTGTTCGTTCGCTGTTATTGCAAGGACCATTGCCGTTACCGCATGCAATGTTGGCGATGCGAACTGTATACCTTTCGAGAATGTATGGTTGATCAATTACTTAAATCCATTCATTCATTTGATTGGTTGATCGGATCGTTGTTTTTGTTTTCAAAAAATTTTTTGTTTCACTGATATAATATATTACACTGATACAAGCTCCCCCTTCTCCTGTCCTGCTCAATAGCTCTTAACAATACGATCATACCTAATAACAACCACAACACGGTTTGTACAACAATACTCCGAAGACATCGTCCAGCCATTAACGGCTTGTTAAGTGTCTCAACAAGATAATGAGCCACTAAACATACTAGTCAACGCAAGACTCACATTTGGTGCATTATGTCATCTGGATATATTTACGCAAACCATGCCGAAGAGCATACAATAGTAGATGTGATTAGTAATAAGCTTGGAAGATTCGACTAGAATCAGTGCGTTGTTGGATCCATGGTCAAAAACAAAATCTTTCTTAGACAGGAAGCAACATCATTATTGAAAGAATATATGTCACTCTACATAGATTCTAGATACCAGAACAAACGGTTATTCTTTGAATCGACAGTTAGTTGAAGAAACACCCCTGATCTGTGTGTGATGATTGACCTCAGCTGCAAAGAAAGAACAGCCTTGGGCTGGGTGGTGAAAATTCTGCCCCAAAGATAAATTACTTAATACATTGCAACACCTGTTTTTTCTGACTCAGATTCGTTGGTTGGCGGCATCGTTTTCAGGGAGATTTTCCCATCCTTGCAAGAATGGCAAGCTTTTCAATGGCAGCAAACACAATAACAAAGATTTGATGCAATTTAAAGCCAGATACTACACGTGCTGCAATATGTCTGAAAAGTTGGATCCAACAAGTGGGTGGGAAGATGCTTAATATTTAAACGTAATAGATGTCCAGTGGCTTGTATTTAGTTACTCTTGTATTAGCACATTGAATAATGTATTATGACTATGATTTTATGGTAAAAAACTCTTAGCTAGTTAGTGTTACTTTGATGGGTATCAAACTCGTTACTAAAAGAGAAACTCACCAGTAAAGGATTCTGAAATAAGTGATAACAGTAAGATGGATAAATTTATATTGTTGTTCTCGGTCCAGAACTCAGTCATCTTAGTCCAGAACTGAGACGAGTCCCGAACTGAGGTATAACATAAATACGTGTCGTTCAGTTAGATCTTCAGCAAGACATTGCTATTAGGATAAGTTCTTTATTCTAATAAAAATCCGATTTAATCATAAACTTTATTATTTTATCTATTCCCTGACCTGATAGAGATACTTAGCGTCATTGGCGAAGTGTAAAACAAATACACGTAATGTAGCTTTAATGTCAAGTATACGTCATTGCTTATTCAAAGTCTTAGCGCTTTGGATTTATCGTATCTTATAGCAGACAAATCCAGAAGTCAAAGCAGTTGGTCAATTACTAGCCAAAAAATCATTAAAGCATTAAATCGTCGATGATAAATTCAAAGAGCTAAGACTTTGAATGAGTAATGATATACACTCGACATTTAAAGCTACATTTATTCTCTTTGCGCAAGTAAGAAATGGAGGGTGATATTAGTGAGTTGATTGAGTCTCTTGTGACATGCGGCGTTATCAAGTAACATTATTATTCGTCTATCATGTGTGCGCGTATTTTGGTCAAGTTTTTCCAACCAATGCATGAAGATCGATCCGAATAGTAAAATTACTTCACAAACGTCCCTGCATCCACGCTGTTTATTCCAATAGTAGTCAACCGGGAAAAGTTTATAGTTGAGTTGTCTTAGTACACGAGGTAATTTAGACTTATTAATTAGAAGTGGTAACAATTTTTTCGTTCGAGTTTACAGCGAGTAGAACAGTAACTCGATTTTTTGACTGTTTCCGGCCTTTTACTTGATCTTAGCCAAAACCCGAATTAGTTCTCCTAATAAAGAGCTGTTTTATCACAATCAAATATATCTTTGGGTTTCCAATTCTTCAACAAGTCATGTAATTTTAATCGTTCGCATTCGATTTTTTCTTAGAAAGGTGCAATGAGAATTTCACCATGTTTTGTTTTTTGCGATATACCTATACACCCGATAGCCACCCTTCAGATCCTTTGAAGTCAACAATATTCAACGTTCGAGAAAATTGATTAGCTTTGTTGAGAATAGCAGAGTCATCGACATCCTGATTTTCCTAGGAGTTTTTCAAGCCAAATAGTCATCGCTTGTTCAAGTGCAGGCCATTTTGGTTGTCGATTCTTGCACCATGATTATCCTCATTTATTGCAAGCCACTTCTTGCTTTCACGAATAACATCACCAACGGTGCTACCAAACAATTCAGCGATTTCTGCATTAGTAAAAGAAGGATTGTTTAGTTTAATTTGACAAATTTCTTTCTTCTGCAATCCTGTTAATGAAATTCTAATGCGTTAGGCGTCTCTACGTCTGTATTAAAATTTTTTTAGCAGAAATTCTTTTGACGTCCCATGGTAATAATTAAAAGAATTGGTTGAGTTATAGATGCATTTATTAATATATACAAATACTCTTACTTGACTCCGCCGACCGGTATAAAGTCAAAGTAAAGTAAAACTGGTCTGTGGTTTGTGTAACTTGTGCTGCCGAGCGGGTATAAACAGAGTTATTAAATTCGCCGTTATAAGTGGTGGGACTAATATGGTGCAGCGAAACCGGTATATGCAAGCGGTATAGCCTGAATCACCAAGGGTGTAACTGATAACATGATAATGACCCAGACGTCAAATCACGTGAATTGGATGAAGTACGGGCCACAATAATATAATCAGCTTTGAAATCGTGAAAGCTGAAAATGATTTTACACACAATATTCTAGATACGCCTATATTTTAAAAAAGCTCGTATATCTTTGCTAATTTTAGAGAGTTATTCTCTAACTCCTTGCCAGGATAAGCGTTCTTGATTGGATTTTTTATAGTAATTTAAACGATCCAGCAAACCTTACCGAAATTGAAGTAAGCTCTTATTACATTTTGGCTTGCGTTGACATTATGAGTTTTGGCATTAACAGCTTTATTATATAAATGGACAAAGTCTGATAATGTAACTTGTGATAAAGTTGTCGAAGTTATATTTGTATCCGGAACCTTTTTTGCTGCCAATTTTTCGACAAATTTCTTTACCAGTCTTTTGTCTTTTGACATAAATATTTTTGCCGAATATGCTCATCTGAGAACCTATTCAGTTGAAATGAGATGAAATGAAGAGCTATTCTAAGTGCTGCTATAAATATATAAAACTGACTCGTGACGATCACAAACTATTTATGACAAGTGCCATCAGCTCATTTAATATTAAACAAATTTTAATTAACAACCAATAGTTGAACTCCGGAGAATCAATGAGACCGGTTAAATAACGTTAATTAATTAATTTGTGAGGGTCCGAGTTCGGTACATATAAGGAAAGTCCCTACGGAAATCCAAATCATTTTTTCAATGGTAAAAACATAAGAACCTCAGACCATCAAATTGAAACTGCATGTATGCGATCTCTATATCAACTCTACTGTTCGTTTTTATTGACACGAACGCTAATTTTTCCTATTAAAAACTTTTTTAAACTCTGTTTCTTTTTTAATTTGAACGAAAAAGGACCATGTTTTTGTAGAGTAGTTGTTAGAGTATCTATTACCACAATTGCTCATAGGGCTTTCCCTTGCCTCTACCGATGTCGGATTCCACCAAATTGGGTTTAAATTTATTATATAACCAATTAGCAATCATAATTACCAATAGCAATAGTAATTAATTAAAAATTAATCTTTGGTTATAAATAATAACGATTTAGATCAACTGTTTGTAAACAAACAAAAAAATGAATCAAAAAACTCTTCTTGTGTTTCTCTTGTTCCTAACTACTACAATTTCAATAACTACCGCTGTCAATTTTGCGGCCTGTAACAACTTAGATCCAACTCCTGAATCACTCGTTATAACAAAATTATCTTCCGACCCCGGCGATCCCACCGTACTTGCTGCAACACTTATCAAATATACTGCGTCTGGACCCTTTGACCAGAATGAATCGATAATTCTCGTTTCTCATCTCGACAGCAGTCATAATCTAATAGCAGCTGATGAAATTATAGGATTATGTGAAAACGAAACGGATTGTCCGCCAAGGAAAGATGATTTTGATTTTGATATTTTTAAACTGGATGGTATGCCACAATCATATATTATTGAACTTGCTGTTCAAAAAATAACAAATGGAGCGTTGCAAGAAATTTCTAAATGTATCGACGTTCTTGTTGGTTAATTTACAAAATTTTTTCGATTTTGAATTGTTGTATTGCAAATATCGGTGTTACGCAAAATTGCGGACGGAGCAAACTTTTCTGTGACACATGGCTAACATGTGACGCTATTTATTAACACTTACGAAATAAAAAATAGCTACTCTGTGGGTTATTGAGAAAAATGGCAAATGAATATCTTATTCACTTTTATTTGATATTGTGATGCGTCGCGGTGCCGCAGTCCAAATCAATCAGCGGTAACACCATTTTAGTTGGTAACACCAGCGCAGCTGCGGATTTCGGAAGTGGGGGGTACAATCAATAGTAGCACCGTTGCAGTGTAACGAACATTTCAGCACTAGTGATACGAACACTACTCCGTCACTACACCCACCGTCACTAGTACAGAAACAGTGGCAGAAACAGTGATAGAAATAGTGATGAAATGTTTCGGTTTATTCTAACGTATACTAAAGGACAGTCGATATAGTAGAAGAAGTAGCAGTTAAAAATAGCTTAATTAGACCGATCGAAAGATATATAAGCAGTAGGAGCTTCGGCTAGAGTCGGTGTGTAAATTAGGTGTTTAAGATCCTTATATTCCTTATAATTCATATCTTATTGTTAATAAACGAGTATCGTATTTACTCTGAATCTATATTATTGACCCTATTCTCTAAATTAGTTGATATATCTGAGAAACTATATCAACCAAGGATAATTGCCTCTTGTCCCGCAATTATCTGAGTGATATTTAATCGTTAGCTTTTCGAATGCGTTCAATCTAAAGTGATAAAAAATTGTACCCCAAACGGGAGATTATCGGATTAGTTCCTCGATAATAACCGACGATACACTCGAGAGCGATTATCTATCTAGGATTAACGTTATTCTACGGTGAAAAAGCCCGCAAGTGCAAAATCTTGACATTGACAAGGTCACTAACTGTACCCAAGACATTTATCTAGAAGGAGGAGGCGACACGCTCCGTCGATACTAGCTAAATCCCAAGTGTCGATTACTTTCTGCTCTCCCGCAGTAGTCGGCACGACAAATACAATACATGTTTATGTGTATATTGACAGAGCAGCATTGGTTTCAAGTTTTCTCTTCATACTGTAAATTAAACATAGAAAATGGAGTATTGTAGACAAAATATTAGAAACTCATGTTTCTAATATTCACTCTGTATTATATAATTCAAATTTTGCATCACACAATTTCTAATAACTACCATTTTGGCTTTTTTTATAGGCACATTAGTGATTAGATAACATAATTACAATTATTGACATCAGGGTTAATAGTTGCAAACCAGGAATATTGTCTGTTATCAAGAACTGTAGTAATAGGCAATATACTAATAATGTACTTCATGATCTGATACAGAACCATTTATGTCTATATTATAACTACCATCTCTATTATTCCAGCATACCTTCTTGCTATATTAATATCTGAAATTGCAGAAAATCCACATTCATGATTATTCTAGCTCTCCATAATGATAAATGCAGTTAGAGTTCTGTTGATGTGTGCTGCTTGTACATTAATATGTAATGAGGCAATTCTAAGATTATAATACTCTTCCAAATGTTTAGATATATAAAGATATAGTATTCTAACATTTAAATCCATCCAGAGTCTTGATGGGCCATATATAACTGCCACAATCAGTCCTTGTGTTTCCAACATGTATCTTTATTTGGTCCATGTCCCACCTATTACAAGCAGTCTTATTAATAACACAGGAATATCCATCAATACAACTGTGTATTAGTATTACAAACTTGTACCTAATACTAATCAGTTTATATTTATGGTTGCCACCATCAAATGTTGTGAATAGCCGATTATGCTATTTACTACGGAATTGTTTGATTGGTCAAAAATTCACTCCCATGTATTTTGAAGCCATGTATTCTGCGGCGCTTTTGTATAACTTAGATTTCGAACACCAACTTGATCACTTGATCATAAATAGTGATAATTCGTGAGTAGATGTCTGGGAGGGAAATTGAGTACTAGAGTGATGAATACGAATAGTGATATAAAATTCATTATATAAACGA